GGAGCAGAAAGATTTGGGAATATGAATAAGCAACGACATGAAATATTCTGTGCATATTCAAAAGATATGTAACAAAGCTAACCAGCGAATCGGGATGATAAAACGATGATTTTCCCATTTCAATGAAGAAAAAATTACTATTCATTATAAATCGATTGTTCGCCCTATTTTGGAGTATGGTTCAGTCATCTGGAATACAAGAAGATATTAACTGTTTAGACTGAGTGCAGAAACATTGCTTGAAACTCTGTCCTTCTGATATAAAACTTCATTCCTTGGTGGAAAAAAGAAAAGAGACCGATTTAATCCAGACCTAAGCATTTAACACATTGTTAGAAGTCTACGGTCGGGAGTCTTTTCAGAAGTACCCCCAAAAAAGCCTAAGCTAAAGGGGTCATTCTAAAAAAATATACAAAGAGAAGTTGCGAACAGACGTGGCCAAACAATTCTCCAGTAACAGAGTTATAGACCAATGGGACCAACTCCCAGAAGAAGTTGTTTCTGCACCAAGAGTAATTATCTTTAAAGAGAAGTTGAGGATCCTTCCACTGGACAAGAGGGCCTAAATATCAAGTATCAAGTAAGTAAGTATTAAGTAAAAAAATCCTTTAACTTACTCAGGAATTGAACCTTCCACTAAGCTACCAGTACTTCGTCACTAAAGACAGCTCTCTTCACAATTTTACGTTTTATGTGAATAGCTGCGATTTGCCCATAATTAATGTGCTATAATGCCGCGAAGTTGCCACGTTCAAACTTAAAAGACCCATAGAAAATTATTTTTGTTCTTAAAGCTTCCCACTTGAGACTTAATGGGTTATCCTTGTTATTGATGTGTTTTACAACAAACTACTCTTAACGTATGTTTACTCAGACCTGTGATTATTTAAAAAATAAACAATAATAGGCTCGTGTTCTTAATTATTGTTGCAGTGGTTTCACTATCGAGTTAGGGTCGGCAACTACGGTACTGACTACGTCAAATCTTGGACTGCCAGTGAGCACAACCCATTGTAAAGTAGGTGCTATTGTCGCAGTTGGATGGTTCAGAAGACTGCCGTCGACTGGAAGCTCTTCAATACAATATGGCTTGGCTGATCACACTTCCTGCTACCATCGGGCTTAGTGTTGGTTTTATGGCCTGTCTACAATTGGCGATTAAAGACTATGTGTACCCAACAGCTACATACACTACCACTAAATGCTACACATTCACTCCTGGCAATGTAGATGTCAATCAATCAATCAATTCATTTGTTAGGAATAACGCCTTAAGATCGGTGGCACACACAATAGTGGTACATCCAAATTAACAGTTTTTTCAAACAAAAAGCAAGCTTAAAACTAGGCATACACAGACACAATTTTGAAATAAACTGTTTATCTTATTGCTGAACAATACAAAAAAAAAACTTAACTAATACAATAAAAAAAATCAAACAATCAGGCCAATAAAGATCATAAGCCTACATGTAAATCAAACAAAAGCAACAAATAGGCCTATAAATAATTTTTAAAGTTATATATGAATGACAAACAGGGACTAAATGTCAAAAGTGGCACCATGTCTCTTACAAAAAGTTGCTAATTAAAATGGATGATTTTATAGGGTTGTGGAAAGAAATGAAAATTATATATTTCGGACAATCAGAATGGACAATATTTTTAAGACCCTGTAGTAAAAAGTAGAAAGCTACAGTTTTCCAAACTTTTGAGCGACTTTAAAATTAACCGTTTTCATGAATGCAATACAAGTAATACAAGAAAAACATAAACATAAAACTAAACAAAAGAATATTGAATAATGCTTACAAATACAAAATTTTAGTTAATAATTTACGAATGATAATTATGTTGGTATTATGATATTATGAGGGGTGCAGTGGCAGCTCCTGGTATCCGAAATATAGAAGGGTGGGTCCAGGGAGACCGGTGAAGGGTCTATATCACCTAACCCCACTATTGTTGGGCTAAGGTCAGAACATTTATGATTATGGCACTTCTAGATGGCCGGAAATGACACTCTCAGACATAAAATTTGAATATAATTTAAAAATTTTTCAAATTTTTTTAATTTAAAGGAAGGGAGGAAAGCAACTGTCCCCTTTCCTTGATTTCACCACGGTGTTAATTCTCGCTGTAGTACTCAAAAGGCCTTTTGTGAAAGGACCATATATTTTCCATAGTACGGTCAAGGAGCTGGAGGGAGTGTTTCTCATAGAGATCCCATATGAATACTAACTTGTGTGTACATACAGTTGTGGATTAGTAGCCATCTAGTTGAATGTCGTTTAAATGCGAGCCTGCGGCCTTTTAAGAGGTCACAAATGGCTTTAAATTTGACCAGTGGTGGTGCCAGGGTTCGCCCGACGGGGGTCAGAGGTCCCCGACCGCGGGGCTGGAGGTGGGGGGGGGGGGGTTTGCGACAATTTTTCCGACGATAAAAGTAGACGTGGTCGGGCGTCGCTCAAAATCTCTCGAACGTGTTCCAGGAGAAACCCCCATATAATTTACAATTACAATTTAGGGTTTTAAAGGCTTACTTAATCGATTTTGAAGTCTACTAGTATGTAGAAAATACATATACAATTTTGTTTTCTACTCGACGAATTGTGCTTTTTCTCCATCACCACCTGAATTTGACCTTGATTAGTTTTATATTTAATGTACAATTTTAAATGTTACTGATATTGAAATTAAAAAAAAAACAGTCGAGGTTCTTAAAATTGTAAGGTAATTTCTATATGTAAGTTTGGAAAATAAGGACGATGATGATAATGATGACATACGGTATGGCACATTTATGTTACGTTTTTGTCGAGTTATGAATATTAAGAGCAGTTGTCTGTAAAAATCAAAGAAATTTCAAAAATAGTGGCAGACTCAAAAAAAAAAAAAAAAAAAAAATAGATTTGCTTCAAATTTTGCACATGGCTATACCTTTAAGAAAGTATAATACATACTCCAAGTATTGAAATACACGCCATCGTGTTGGGATTCAATATTTCGACATTAATTATGTCATCATCAGGAATGAAAAAATTATCCATATTAGCAAGCTTATATGCACTAGTACCAAAAGTGTTTAACCAATCAAAACATTACCTCTAGTAGGTGACATAGCAGTGATTTAAACAAAAGATCAAGCAATGCTTTGATCTTTTGTTTAAATCACAAAAACGTACGAGCAGTGTTGCCAGAAAAAAAAATTATAATAGCAAAATTTACCAGTTTTTTCCGCTGATTTATTCATAGATTCCTTTGACTTCAACAATAATAAATGTTTTTCTATACTTTAAGTAATGTTGTGATAAAAAAAAAAAACAATGTTTGTGGTATCAATGTTGTCATTTTTCTATTTTAGCGGTATTTTAAACCCTTTTAAGGTGAGTTTATAATAATTTCACTTTATGTTGTGATACGTCACGTTAGTAAATTGAATCAACCGTGTATATAGACCAAAGATACTAAAACACAAGATAGAGTTCTCCACACAAAATAGTGTTCCACCGAAATGCATGGTGGGAATACAAACAATGGGACGCCCTTACGGCTGAATCTAAAAAAATTCAACCAAACTTTTGTTACCAAGTCGTCGCGTATTTTATAAAACACACAATTAAGCCTATGGATCAGTTTAGAAAACAACAAATAGCGCAAAATCGTATGGCCGGACGCACTCTAGTGATAAAGTTTTCCTTCATTAGTGGAAAAAGAAGGGCGCCGTATGCGTCTGAATATACTTTAGCAACAGAAGAGCGCCCTGTACGTCGGGCACAAAGTATAGAAAACTCGCATTGTTAAAAAGAAGGGCGCCGCCTACGTTGGGCACGATTTCCGCCTTATTTTTACTATGCGAGTGCTCTATCTTGTGTTTCTAGTATCTTTGACATAGACGCACGCACACGCATGGAACCGATCCACGGTACCTACTGGCACATCTGAATAAACTACATGTTATGTTACATAATAGTTGATAGTCTGTGTGTCTGCCTGTTTGTCTCAACGACCACCCAGGAACACAACATGGTGACAGCCGTAGGATTGATTACAACCAACACCAACTGAAAAGGTGAATATTATTTTATTTTGCTTTGAGCCTAGCTGTGAGCACCGCTGCTAGCCGACGAACAGCCACCTATCTGCACCGCCAACAAACTGGTCGCGTGCGCTGCAGAAATACGAACACTTTGAACTTTGATTTAATTCTGAGACTTTGCTAGCAAGAGAGAGACGTTCTGGACCTGAATTTATTATCATAATATTTTCAAGGAACTTTCAAAGGCTGCTAGCAAGAGAGAGACGTTCTAGACCTGAATTTATTATCATAATATTTTAAAGGAACTTTCAAAGGCTAGGCTAACATTCAACTCAACAATTTTACTGAACTAAAGCAGATTTTCGAACCATACTTCATATTGAGCCTAGGCCTATATGAACGTATGTACAACGATAATTGCAAGCCGACCTGACAACGACAGAGCGTCGCACTACCAGCATAGCAACCAGCAAGATTCGTGGTGACAACAAGCAGTGTTCGAGCATCGACGCGCTATGCACGGACATCTACTTTTGGTAAACAACCTTGTGTGAGAAGATATAGCAAGTTACTGTATATTGATCTAAACTGGAAAACAATTGGATTTAGTGGACTATACGAACTACCCTTTGACAGACAGATTGCTACATTGTGTTACAAGTACAGTACTGTATGTTTTTATTAATTAATATTCTCTTTAAACCATTTATGCTTGAACTACAGCTGTACGACAGTTTAACGATAATATTGTGTACTGTATTTTCATGTACTGTATAGGCTTAACCTTATAGATAACGTATGTTATATCATATAGTTGTACAGTATTACTATTATATGTTACTCTATATGATTCTGATTGACGTGTACACATACAAAACCTAACGTATAACAATTTTATTCATTTGCAATCTCTATACTAACTATTTTTATCTACTGTATTCAGTTTAATAATACTATAGCAATGACACGATATCCAGAAATGAACTGGAAGGCCATAGATTTGGCGGAAGAGTTTACGTTATTTAAACAGAGAAAGGAATTGTGTTTGATCGACAACGAGGTAACAGAAGCAGCTAAACAAGCTATAAAAATCAAAATTGCACTAGGCAACGAAGGGCTTCGAAAAATCAACACTTCAGGTTTATCAGGAACCGACCAGGAGGATCCCACGAAGATTTGTGAAATTTTCGACAACCAACTTAAAGTTAAGGTTAACTTTAGAATACATCGCCTTGAACTCATGAGGTATAAACAGAAGACAGATGAAAGCCTAGATGAGTTTGTAAACAGGTGTCGCAGTAAAGCAAAGGAGTGTGACGATAAGCTGTCTGAACGCTTAATGGAACTGGTCATCACGACAACCAAAATAGAATCATTTCAGAAAATCTACTCGAGAAAGCCAAAGGTCACCAGATCGAGCAACTCCTCGAAGATGGACGCAAATATGAAGCCATAGCTGCTGGAAAAGAATGCCTACAAACACTGAGCTCACACACAGTCAACGCCATATCTAAACCACAAAATCCAAGAAAGACGTCATGTGGAAACTGTGGTAGTACACATCCACCACGGAAGTGCCCAGCTTATTACGACACATGCAAGAAATGTGGGACTAAAGGACATTGGGCGAATGTATGCCGAAAGTCAAGGTTCACACGAGATCTGAGAAACAAGCACAATCACCAGCCACATATACGAAATCGAACACCCTCTAGACACAGAGGAAGATCAGCTAACCGCAAGCAGTACCATCGCAAACATTCAGTTAAGGAGATGACTAACGATACTCAATATCATCATGACGATGAAGCAGAAACCTCAGGTGATGAAATCTTTCACTCAATTGAAGGAGGTGAGGAAGCAACCCAGCAGAACAATGTCATTCACTCAATTGGAGTAACAGAGGCTTATACGATGATCGATATCATATGCCGAAATAAGACAGGCAGTCACCGATTACACCTGAAAATAGACACGGGATCAAGCAGGAACACTCTGCCCCTACGTACTCTCAAACAAATGTACAAAGACAACTGGAATGCTGCACTAAAACCAACAACTGCCAGACGAACTGCCTACAACGGGTCAGATATACAGTGTATAGGGACGATACAGATGTTATGCAGGTATAAAACCTCAGATTGGTCCAAACAGACATTCATGTCAATGGCCCAGCCATAGCCGGTCTGCCATTGTGCGAGACACTGAAGGTAGTAACAATCAATGAAATAAAAACAAACAGTCCTATCCACTCAGTGAATGATCTAAAACAACTGTACTCACAGCTGTTCGACAAAATAGGAAGCTTCAGAGGCGAAGTAGTTCTACATCTCAAAGAGGACGCAAACCCATCAATAGATGCTCCTCGAAAATGCAGCTTGCACATCAAGTAGAAAATGAAAGAGCTAGATGAAATGGAAAAACAAGGTATCATTCGAAAGATATCATAGGTATCAAACAAGGTATCATTCGCACACCATCGCGTCTGCGTTTAACTCACACAGACCCGACGCGACAACAAATCGCGTCGGGCTGCGTCGTACGACGCTGTCTGAGTTGGCCTTTAGACGCCAAAGCAGGTTATTGGTCTGTCCACGGAATATCTCCTGATCTACGAAAAATCGAAGATGTTCATGCTATGCCTGTTTCACGAGACAAAGGCGATCTTCGAGATGCCTTGGACTATTAAACTTCCTATCGACATATATCCCGAACTTTTCAGAGAAAGCATCGCCACTGAGAGATCTCCTGAAAAACGACACACCATTCTTGTGGCACGAAGATCACCAACACGCTCTAGATGAGCTAAAGAAGGCAATTACAGCAGAAGCTTGCCTGCAGTACTACAATCCAAACAAAGCAACTATCTTAGAAGTAGACGCATCCCAGAAGGACCTTGGAGCCAGTATTCTACAAGACGGCAAAGCAGTCGCATTTGCATCGAAAAGTCTCTCACCAGCGCAAGCAAATTTCTCTAACATAGAACGTGAGACACTTGCTCTCGTATTCGGCATCAACAGATTCCATACATATCTGTTTGGAAAAGAATTCTTGGTGGAAACCGATCATAAGCCATTAGAGATGATCTGGAAGAAGCCACTAACAAGTGCACCTCCACGCCTACAGAGACTACTTATCAAAATACAAGGATATGACTGTACTATCAAATATAAGCCAGGAAGCTTAATAGTATTATCGGAAACCATAAGCAGACTGCCAAATTCAAACAAAACACAAGATGTACTGATCGAGCTCCAGGTTGACGATATTGAAGACACACTCAATACTGACCTAATGAGCTTTGCAACCAGCAAGCAAAAGGAACTACAGAACGAGACCTCAAACGACCAAGTGTTACAGACACTATGGCAAATTGTAATTGCTGGATGGCCAGAGAACATAAAGCAAGTTCCAGAAGACATAAGAGTGTTCTGGCCATCACCGAGACGAGATAGGGATCTCCAATGGAGTAATGTTCAAGGGCATACGAGTAATAATCCCAAAGAATCTCCAAACAAACATCCTAGAACAATTGCACCAAGGACACATGGGATTGAAAGAACCAGGAGGCTTGCCAGAGAGACAGTGTATTGGCCAGGAATCGATAAAGACATCGAAAGAGCAATGAAGTTGTGCCAGCCATGTTAGGAGCACCAGCCTTCACAGCACAAAGAACCATTGGAGCCATACGACATCCCAACAACGCCTTGGACCAAGCTGTCTACTGATTTGTTCTCAATTGGTAAAGATGACGGACTACTATTCCAAATATCCTATTGTCCATAACATGGCCGGCGGAATCGGGGGCCGGAGGGCCCGGGCCCCCCACTTTTTGGCGAAAAATATATAATGTCTGGAGATTTTTCTATGATCGAAAATGCAAAAAAAGAAGGGAAGAAGGAGGAGAAGGATGGGAAAGAGAATGTTTATCCTGTTCCTGACCGAGTTAAATTTTCTAGCAATTCACATTGGCGGATCTGGGGGGGGGTCATGGGTCCTGACCCCTCCCTTGGGCAACAAAAAAGGGGAAAAAGAAAAGAATTCTAAACCTCCAGGACCCGTGAGCTGAGAAAAAATGAGGAAAATTTACCTGACCTTTTTCAAGAGGTGAAAACCTTGAATTTTGTAGAACTTTAAAAGTCATTAAAAGACGTTTCAGAAGTCGAAAAACTCATCTCCCGCCATCTAGAAATCAAAATTTTTCCGGGGGAACCCGGACGGACCCCCTTTATCTTTGGAGTTCATTGATTAATTGAATCATTTTCAAGGGGTGGGGGGACCTTGAATTTTGAAGAATTTAAAAGTCATTAAAAGACACCACAGAAGTCGGGAAAGCTCATTTCCTGCCACCTAGGAATCCCCGCCCCCCCTTTCTTTTTGGGATTTATCGATTCATGAAAAAACTGCGTATGCAACTTACTCAATCATTTTTTATGTATGTATACACACATAAGGCCTATTTTCTGTATTAACAATGGGAAAAAAATATCTGACCGTTTTTAAGAGTGGAAAACCTTGAATTTTGGAGAATTAATTACTTTCAAGTTCTTCAAAATTCAAGGTGTTCCCCTCTTGAAAATTATTATAATGAATCAATGAATCCAGAGAAAGGGAGGTTCGAGTTCTTTCCGGGAAAATGTTGATTTCTAAATGGTGGACAATGAGATTTCCCGACTTCTGAAGTATTTTTTAATGATTTTAATTTAAAAGACACCTCAGAAGTCGGGAAAACTCATTTCCCGCCTTCTAGGAATCAAAATTTTCCTGGCGAAGAACCTCCGGACCCCCCTTTCTTTTTGGGATTCATCGATTCATGGAAAATTCGTATGCAACTACTCATTTTTTAAAAATTGTTATGTATGTATACACACATAAGCCCTATTTACTGTAATAACAAAGGGAAAAAATTACCAGACCGTTTTCAAGATGGGGAAACCTTGAATTTTGAAGAACTTAAAAGTAATTAAAGACACGTCAGAAGTCGTGAAAGCTCATTTCCCGCCATCTAGAAATCGAATTTTTCCCGGGGGAGGAATGTTGAAAAAGAGAAGAGAAAAATAAAGACAAGAATAAAAAGTAAGATATAATGAACAGATATCACAATACCCCTGCAACCCCTTCTCCACTTTAAAAAGTGTCCATAGCGCATTTGATCTAAGCCGCCAGATATTCTCCGCAGTGGCGTAAGCACCGGGGGACAAGGGGAAAATATCCATCTGTGGAAAATCTTTCCCCATTGAATGCCCTTTTCACCCGGGAAAGTGCCTGAAAACCTCAAATTTTAAATCGCATATTTTGTTGAGGTAGGCCAATTTCCTCTAAAAATTGCACATTTAGATAGTTTTGATCAATTCCGACGAAATTAGAATTAAAAACACAAAAATTTTTTGTTAGGGTTAAAGCTTATGCTTGCCCTCCTTATTCTAAGTTATTTAAAAACCTAATAGTCTCCAACTTGAGAAAGACAATTTAAGATAGATTTTTACCTAAAAGAAGGGCCTCAATGTGTAATGATGGTGAAAGAATAGGCCTATGATTGTAATAAATAAAACCACGATGAAAATGCTTATATTTAGTTTCAAACACACGTGTGTGGCCTATATTAATA